TTATCATGATTTTCTTAATATATGGTTTAATTTGCAAAAATACATTTAATATTTTGTTAAGGAAAGCTCCTTTGAAAATATTTGTTTATTACAGCTCCATTTGAAAACATGCCTACGAATAACAGATTCAATTGCTAGTACTACAGAGTAGCTACTTCTTATCAATGACAGAAATATGAGTAAAAGGACACAAAAAATATGATTTATTAGACAGGACATTAGTTTGAAGGTTGTAAATGCAACTAGTTAAATTTTATCAATCTTGATCATAACCAAATGTTAATTGTAGTATGACAGTGAAAAAAATCTTTGTTTTCACTGTATTTAATAAAAAAGCCCTGTAAAGAAGAAATTGGTTAAGGTTTACAGTTATGCACATCTTATTAATAAAAGAAGAGTGAAATGTCTGACAAATGTCAATATATAGCAAACTTTTACAGCAGTATCTATTTAATTGCTAAGTTATTTCAGAAGTCTCATAGTCAGGAACACTGGAGACTAGACTAGATAAGACACTGAGGTAACAAAAGGCAAAACAATCTTGTGGTAATAAAAAAAGGGAAAAGGATTAATGTTTTCCATTGTCTTTAGTGGTTTTATGCTTGGCCTGTAAGTTATTGCAGTCAAAAGATGGAAAAAATGCCTTGTTGATATTTGGTTGGGTCTTTCAATATTATTTTATTAAATTATGGTGTGATTACATTTCTGTGAGTGTTAAAGTAAATAATTTTAGATAAGGAACTTTAATATATTTGTTCTTTACCTACTCAAAGGTAAAATCATACTGTATTTGTTGACTCTGAAGACAAATAACCTTGTCAAGGGATACCTAATTGCCGACCAATACTATATGTGCTTGCAGAGATTGAAATATGCACTTGTGTTCATAAAGGTAACTCAAACCAGAGTCAACTCTCCACACAGAGCCAAATTTTGATTCTCTGGTAGAATTTGCCTGCCTCTAGGGGCTTAGATTACTGCTTGGATAAAGTGCACTGATTCAGTTCCACCAGATGAAATAGAAATTCCAGCTGTGAAGGACTCCTGCAATTCAGCAGTTTCCCAACGCAGCTGACTCTGAGCACAAGCTTAGACACTTTCCCCATACAGGGCTCAAGCTTTTACCAGCCACTGATTCTGCTTCAAGTAGAGGTAAAGAAAAGAATGATGGTTTTTTGCTTCCATCATACAGAAGGTGTTGGGAAGATGGTCTATAACCAGAGGATTGTGTTGCAATGCTTAGCATGAGTTAAGGCATCCAGGACAGATATAACTTGCTTACAGATTTACTTTAGGTTTGGACATTACTTTATGCTGTTTCTTTTGATCATCCCTGGATTTCAACATGTTTTCACTAGAAACCCAAGTTGGAGAGGAATAGGTAACATTGTGTGAGTAAAAGCATTTTCAGTAAATATTTTTAAAGCATAGTAAGATAATTTTTAATTACGCATTCCTCTACATTGCAAGAGTTCCAGCACAAAGCTGGTCCAAAGACCAGCTAGATGCAAATGACATTTTCTCATTTCATTATCTAAGCTAGCTAATAATTTCCTGAAGATTTTAAATGGGTAACGGTCGAGTCATGACCTCTCTTAAGCTCATGGAGGTAAGGAGCAGCTACATTGGGACTGCGTGAAAACAAGCAGGTAAGTTCAAGCACATGCATTTACTTACCCTTTCATGGACATCAATTTACTTTAATCTAGACAGTTCTTAAAAGGATTAAGTTAAGAATCACCAGCTTGTACAGGGACAGGCTCTCAAAATGCCATCAGGGAATGGAGATCCTCATCCTTGCTGTAGTTTGCAGTATAACATAAGGGCCCTGCTTTCCCACTACAGTGGGTACATACAGGTGGTGTTATTTATTGATATTTTCATACACTGTCTTAGTTATTCCCACTCTGACATATTTATTTGGTGTATTTGACTTTTTAAAATATATATTTATATAGTTATGAGGTAGTTACATATAGACTTTAAATCAAATCTTTTTGATCTGATAAAGGTAGATCTCAGTGCCAATATTATCCTACTACTGCCTTTGTGACAACTGAAAGATTTTCACCAGAAATGAAGAAAAAAACTGCTTTCAAACTTCTACTCTTGCATTGTCAGTAACTCAGGAACAGTCATCTGAGACAGAAAATTTTATTAGGAAGTCAACTATCATCTTAAATTGAAAATATATTTTATAGTATCCACTGTTTATTTTTTTGGTATAAGTATGTTTCACCATCTCCCACTTACATCAGTTGCAGGTTTTGGATCAAAGGCAGGGAGGTGGTGAGTGAAACGTAAATCCAGACTTGCACCCCCAAAAGAGTTCCCAGGCAAACGTGAACTGCAGGTCCCCAAGACAACCTCTTAAATAGTTTAATAAGGCACCTGAGGACCAGCTGTTGCCTATTCTCAGGGATGATGCCATCACACCTAAGCTGATTTTATACCCCTGAGCAGGCAGGACCAGGAGAGTCTAGAAATGTCAGTTGAAGGAACATCTGAAGATCATCTACTCCAGCTTGCTTGAAACAGGATGATGACCAAAAGCAGAAATGACAAAAATGACCAGGATGATCACCAAGACCAGTAATGACCAAGAACAGGGATGATTCTATCCCCTCCTGGCGAGACTGTGCAGTCAAAACTGGATTACCAAGAGCAAGCATGCAGACAAGAGAAAAAAAATAAGTTTCCCAGCCTCCTCCCCTGTTATGTTACAGCTGAGAGCTTAAGCCTCTTGCAATGAGCTAAGAGCAGACTTCATATAAATCATGTCTTTTGCCCACCAACCAGCTGCATTAAAATTAATAAAAATGTAAAGAGAAGGTCTTAGATTAATTAGCAATTGAGTATGGACTACACTTTTATGATCTGTAGATATTAGGCAGTTGCAAGAAGATCTCTTTAGTGCATAGCACACAGCCAAAAACCGAAGGCATGCATCTATAAATTTCATAAATTTATATTGCACTCTGTGTATATATAGAACTGCTGCTTGCATGTACCACAAACATTATAGCGCTGGACAAAACTGCTGTTACAAAATTATGGTTTGCAATTTACCTTTCCAGAAAATACTGCTATAAGCAATGTCCAGTTTTCATTCTGGCTCTGTGCTGCCTCTAATTTTCCAGCTTGCTTGAATGAAGCAGAAGAAGGTCAAGTGACTGGTCCAAAGTTCCACAGCTACTCCAATGTTCATTTGGCTACTAGGGCTTGTTTAATCCCTTACACCACACAGCATCCTACAGGGAAATTATAGAAGAGGATAGTGAGATTGCCAGTTATTTTTCTCTATTAAAGATAGTGAGATTGCCAGTTATTTTGCTCTATCAAAACCTTATATGTAGTGTTTCTTATATTCTAGTTTTAATTCAGAAACCTTCTAGGCTGAGGCTGCTACACAGACTTAAGAGAGCAAATATCACAGAAGTACTTGAAGTAATAGACAGCACCTTACACTTTATCATTATTTTCTTGTCACAGCTATATTTGTTTTGCAGTCTTCCTGATCTGAATTTGTGAAATTGAGTTCTTGACTTGGATGAAGCACTGCAGAAGGGACTTTGAAAGCACACTGACAAAGAGATGGAGAGCTGGAGTCTGTTCCCACAAAATCAGCAATAAAACTGACTTCAATAAGAGCAGGGTGAGGTGGGGAATGACTCTATGCAGTGGCGTCCCACTGGTTGCAGTGACCTGTTTCAGTGGGCTTGAAAGCCAATTTTCGAGGAAGACAGACTCCATCCTGCTTTGCCATGAAACTGAGGTCACAGAGAGCCTGTGCAGGCTACAGGATCAGACACTGAGAACATCTAAATTTTTTTGTAGGCTGATCACATTTTTCAAGTGAAAACATTGAGGCACTTCGAAAATGAATTGCATATAAGCAATTTAAATAAATTAAGATCTGTAGCTTACTGGTATCTCAGTATTTTTTAATGTAATTAATAGCATATCAAATGGATTGCTCTTCTAAGATAGGTGAATTATCACAGAGATGGCAAATACTTTTTTGTTATGAGCTAGGTTTATGAAGGTCAGCCATGCTGTGATGTGAGTGACTGTTGAAAATATTAGAGATTTCTAACCTGTACTGTTCCTGCTATTATAATAAGAATTGTATAAATTGTAATAAATTGTAATACATACTCAACCTTTCACTTAGTTTTGATGGTGTGTCCCCTACACCGATACAGCAACTGGAACATGTGGCAAACCAGAAAAGTGAATTTTTTCTGTTCATTGAAGATATAGGGTGAAATGACTGAGAGGTTAAATCCCAGTTTGAGTTGCAAGTCAAGTGAAACAACGAAAAATTTCACTTTGATGAGTCAGATCTAAGAATGTTGCTGTAATGAGGGATAATTATGATGACAGAAATTAAGGATAGAATTATGATAATTGAAAACTCTGTTGTGGCAGATATTAAAAGACCCTGGAGTTGTGGGGCTGTTAAACATTACCATTAAAATCCTGGTAATTAGAAATACTTGACAAAGGATGGGTGAACATTTAGCAAAACAAAAGCTTAACTATTAGTTTCTGATAATCCTGTTAAATTGCACACTGTATTTATTACATGTTTGAGTCTTCTGTGACTGAGACTGCTTGATGGCATAGGTGGTTTCCAGCATCTAAACCTTCCATCTTAAATCTTTAGAAATAGATTTAACTAACAAAAAAAAAAAAAAAAAAAAAAAGGAAAGCTCTTGTGCTTCAGCCCACTGCTCTAAACAAGCACAGACACGATAAGATATATGAAGGTCTAATTCCCATGAAAGTTTGCTTGTGACCCTGTTCTTTGCATTGTATGACTGAAATGCCTCAGTTCCTGCACAGCTGCCTGAAGTTCATTTCAGGCTGAGTTTGTGGCTGTATGGTGTGCATTATTCCACTCTCTTTTGTGCATTTTTTGGGTACTTTTTCTCTAAGGGAACTGCTTATATTTTCTATTTTGAGAGATCTTCTTAGTTTACCTATCCTTGGGTTACAGAAAAAGCTGCTTCTGATCATCTGTGTAGAGATCAAGTGCAGGAAAAGGGCATCCAAAAGACCAAGGACGTGTAAGATTCAAAGGTAATTTTCATACTGGTGTGTATGGTAAGGCTTGATTAGTTTATGAATTATTTTCAACCATTTGAAAATGAAGTGATTTGGGTCCTGGAACACAAAGAAGAAATTACTGGACTATTCTTATTAGACCCAACTTGGCAGAATTTGCAACTTGACCGGCAAGAAGCTCCCATTATTTTAGGGACAGTATGGGGTCCAACCCTGTAAACCCACAGTCCTGGCAGCCCCAGTGAAGAAGTCATGGTGTCCATAGCAACACACTGCAGTGTGAAGTATTCCTGCACCTCCTCAGCTCCCATCCTTGCACTGCTGGGACACGGACAAACTGTGCGTGACTGATCCTGTTTGTGTCACCACTGTTTTACCTCCACATTACAAACCTTGTTTCCCCCGCAAAGAGCATCTGCTTTCTGCATGACATGTTTTTAATGTGCTGATTTATCATTGCCAGATACAGGATTTTTATTGCTGAATTTTGAATATTGTATTTAAGGTGCTCTTTTTTTCGATTACAGATGTTTTACATATAAATTGCCTTATATTACAAAAAATATACTCTGTACTTCTTGAGCAGTCTTATTCTCATGTCTCTTACATTTTGACACCTTACTCTGCATGGCTAAGTGGATGTGAGTGTTGTCTGCTTGGGAGAACTGCAACCCAGGCTACAGCTCTGCAGTAGCCATTCCCCCTTGCTCAGGCATGGGCTGTAGTGTTTGAGGAAACACACGGGTAACAGAATTTTGGGTTCTGACCACAAATTTCAGCTGTATCTGCACAGTGGGTGGCCCAAAAGTCTGAGATTTCGGAGAGCTCACACTAGGGCCAGAACTGCCAGAGGCTGCAATGCACTGCCAGCTTTGAGCAACCTGGCTGGAGGTGGAGTCATGGAGCTCAGGAACAACACTGCTGACATGGAGCCATCTCTGTCCTCTCTGGGAAGAGGCAGGGAATAGGAATAACAGCTTGTGGGACCTCTGTGAGGCAGTGCAACTGGAGGAGCACTCATCCCTGGAAACTGTCAGACCCTAAAGGGTGATGAGAGGATGCTGGCTCCTGTCTCTGGAGCAGCTCAGTGGGGAGCAGGTTTGCAGCCATACGGCAGCAGCCACGCTCTCTGGGAGAGATCAGCTGCTGTTTGCAGCCTGTGACACCAGGGAACTGCCTGTCTGGTGTGCCTCGTGTCTCTGCTGTGCCAGGAGAAGAAGGATGCAACAGCAGAGACTGACTGCCTGGAAGGTGGCCAGCCTGGCCCTGCCTTCCACCCTCACCAAGTCTGGCTGGGATGAGGCCACTATGGACATGAAAAGGGCAGCAGCTCGGTTCATGATGGAACAGTGGAAGAAATAGTCTTCTCAAAAGTATTTTGGCATAGATACATGCCTGTGTTGGACTCTGTTTCACTCTAGGTCATTAAGGGCACCCATGTCAGAAGTTGCTTGGACTCCAAGATCTTGCTAAAGGTGTTCCAGTATCCAAGAAACAGGTTTGGTCCTAAACTTTTGTAGATAATACGAAATATTCATAGTAAGTTATTGCTTTCTTAGCACTGTAATGGGGAAGCACTGAGACCTAAGCAAGTATGACAAATTTCTGCTCCTGCTGGCATCAGAAAAATTACTTGCATCATGTTTCGGACTTTGAGTTCATATAAAGTATTCATGAAGATACATGCCAGCTAACTCAGTACATGGGAGCAGCTCAGAAATTCTGCACTGAAACATGTCTTTCCTCAAATGTCTGGAAAGTTTCCAGGTATTGTGTCAGGCCACAATTAATTGAATATTATTAGCTGAGCAGCCAAATTTCCCAAACTGCCTTTGGATGATCATTTCCAGCTGGTGACTGACTATGTCATGTTGCAATGGCTATAACAGTTTTTAAAGTAAGCAAAAAGATCAAGTACAACTTGATGTCTAGAGAGACTCCTAAAAATGCTCTTTCTGTTCTCTTTCCCCTCTCTAGCTCCCATCCAAAGGCAGAAACACCACCAAATTTTTGATGTGGTTTACTACTCTTTTGTGGGATCCTACTCCATGACAGCCAAACAGCCAGGAGATGAGGTGCTGTTTGCAGATGTGGCCAGAAGAAAGAAAAGGACACAATAGAGGCTGCAGAAAAGAGATGGAAGAGATTCAGCAAATATAATGAAATATCTGCTCAGAAGGGGCAGAAACAAAGAAAAATTAAATGTTACAAGAGCTGAAAAAGAAAGGGACAGCTTTTTGCTGGTAAAGAGCATGAGTAATTAGGTTATCCTACATAATCTGTGGAGAAGACTGGGAATCCCAGAAGGAGATAATGACACTACCAGATCATGGCTGGAATGCAGCCTGTAGGAGATTGAAATTTCTGGAAAAGAGATCTTTCAAAGAAATATTTCTTCCTGCTTATGAGAAGGGGATCTTCCTCCTGTCACCAGAATTTTCATCAAGACAATTGTAAGAATGTTTAATTTAATATACCATAGAATTATTTGGGTTGGAAAGGACCTTAAAGCTCATCTCATTCCAATGCCCCTGCCATGGGCAGGGACACATTCCACTGCACCAGGTTGCTCAAAACCACATCTGACCTGGCCTTGAACACTTCCAGGGATGGGGCAGCCACAGCTTCTCTGGGCAACCTGTGCCAGTTCCTTCACCACCCTTCACAGTAAAGAGTTTTTTCCTAATATCTGATCTAACTCTGCCCTCTGTCATTTTTAAGCCAGTCCCTCTTGTCCTATCACTACATACCCTTGAAAAAAGTCCCTCTCCAGCCTCCTTGTAAGTCCCCTTTAGGTACTGGAAGGCAGATATCTATCAGTAACATTTATTTCTACACGAAGGAATATCAGGATGCTGCAGAAAATAACCTGTAAGTGCAGTTCTGTGAGCTGTGAAATCCTGAAACAACTTTCCCATAGTTGTTCCATGCAGCCTGGCTGCTTCCCAGGGAGCGCAGAGCAAAGTAGTTGAAATAACACCACCATCTGCTGGGCACCTGGTGAATTCAGGGAACGGAGAGCTCGTTCAGAGGTGGAAATGTGTGTGACTCCCAGCCACTGGTACATGCTAGAATATGCTTGGTAAGCCCTCATCATGTAATTCTTCATTATTTCTATTATTATTTCTGACTGATGCTTTTCCAGGCTGCTTTCTATGAAAGACATAGCTAAACAGATACATAATAAAGAATAAAAAATGTCTGCCTTGCACGGCATAAGGAAGGAAATGGGGAACATTTTTCATAGTATTTCTGTGTGGGGAGCAGCACCAGTAGAGCAGCTGTGCCCTGTAAAAGATATATTAATTTAATTCCCATTAGGACTGATATTATTTGCTCTTACAGATCTGTTGCTAGGTCTCATGCAGCTGCACCTATCAAGCCTGAAAAGAAGAAACCTAGAAATAGCAACATCCATGGACAAGCTGAGGTGCATGCCACAGCCAGATGTGGAGACCAGCATGTCATAAAGACCCAGAAATGATTCTTGCAGCAAGTATAAATGCTGCAGGATTTCTTGCTGTTGGATGTGTTAGACTTACTGTAGCCTCCATCCGAGCTTATTTCTGGTACAAATGTTTTCCAGTGATGATTAGAGGTATCTGTGACACACAGGTGGTATTCTGCAAAAAAAAGAGCTGGAAAGCCCACAAGCCTACGAGCTCAGCTGACATGGGTAAGGCACATCATCTTCTATAGCCTGAGGCACAAACAAGGATGATGTGGCTGGTATTGCGTGAAGCATTTCCCCTGCCCTGCCAAATGACCAAAGACCTGCTAACAGTTGGATCAGTAGAGAAATGGCTTTCACGGGAGCCAAAAAAAAAGGCTAAAATGTGTCTGTTAATGTGGTGAGACAATCTGCTGGGGTCCCTGAAACGAAGATGAGTGACAGCCCTCGTGTGAAAAGACAGTTGAGATTTTCTCCTCCTGCAGAGGAAAAATTGCTGGAGTTATGTGAAACCTGCCCCCACTCCATCAGCACTTCGAGTTTTTACAAACTTATAAAAGCTGTTAGCACCCCCTGCTATTTCAGACCCCCATAGGGGGAAAGAAAAATAGGATGAAGTCGTTCAACCTCCTCACTCTCCTGCTCGGTGTTCCTGAAATTTAAAATGCCTTCCTTTTCAGGGAGGGGTGCCCAGAGGAGACACAATTGCTACCTGAGCTGCAAAGGTTTGCCTGGAGGCAGGACAGTGTAACACTGCAGGGTGAGGATCCTGAGGCTGGATGAAGAACTTGGTCATTCTATTACAGGATATGTGGAGATGGGGGAATATGCCTTACTGCAAGGCTGAGGATAAACAGAAGCTTAGAACAAGGCCTATAGTGGTATGGGCATGGGTATGGCACAGCATCCCTGCTGTGAGCCCTGCCAGGGCTCCCTCCTGTAAAAATCCCTGCAACAAAATGCTCACTGGGGATATTTAAGTTTGGGTTTTGTTGTTTTGTTTTTTGTTGTTTTTTTTTTTTTTTTTCCTGTGTGGCTTTTAGATTAGCTTCTGTTTTGTGCTAATGTATATTTTTCCAGCTGAATGGTGGTTAATCCCTAGCCTCAAAAATCTATCTTCCCCCTTAGAAAAAAAAAAAAAAAAAAAACAACAAAAAATCCTTCCTTCTAATATATTTATTCACTTATATTTACTTATAAATGGAAATTAATAGCATCAGATAGCCAAGGTGCAACTTTTCCATCAGAAGCAGAAGCATCAGTAGGTCCTGTGCATTTATAATGATTAAATATCAGTGGTGTCTGTCACACAGGAATGAAGCTGTACCAGGAGCTGACTGTCTTATACAGAAAGAACTTGGCTGACAATTTTTTCTGTGCTTTTTTAATAAACCTGTTACCTATCCCCAAGCTATCCTCTGGTTTATGCCAAGGTATCACTGTTGTCCATGAGATGTACTTGCTTCAGTTTCTAATATGATGCGGAGAACATAGTCAGCAAGCTTGTATGAAATTTATACCTTCATGAGAACTATCAAGGAATTATTTTCAATAGGACAGCTGAGAGCAATCACACTACTTAATATCATAATGTCAAATGAGAGATTATTGTAATATTGCCAAAATATTTATCAAATAAAGTAGGAAGAGAATATTTTCAGTTCAGCTGTGGAATGACCACATCTGAACAACTGGGATCCTGTGAGTATTTTTAACCTGAATGACCTTCAGGCTGTGATGACTCTGCATATGACGCGTGCATGTAAAGGAAGGGTGTTGCTTCTCCTGCTGCTGCTTCAAAGAATATCATGTGGAGGAAGGAGGCATATTTAAATGCAGAATTACAATTGGGTCATCTGAAATAGTTCTCTGTGCTTTGTAGTTGCTTTCTTGAAAATATCAAGTGCCAGACTCTTTTTGCAAATTTTTCTTCAACAGTTTTTTTGATTTAAAGTATCCTGTTTATTTTGAAGTGTCGATTTAGCTGTGTCATCCTATGTATTATCATCAAGGCAAGCTGCTTTAGTTAACCCAGGAAATTATTGTTTTCTGGGAATACAAACACTAATAAAGCTATTGGTGCAATAAATTATTTTCTTTTGTATGGAGATCAAGTAATTCAGTGCTTACTTCAGGAAAGACAATACAACATATATTGAGTCCATTAACAGCAACAACAAATCTTTTCTGGCTCTAGAGGAAGAATTAATTATTTATAAGTTTCTCATTAACTTTAACCTACTGTTAAAAGTAGGTTTTTAAAAGAATTCCTTTCTGTTTGTGATCAAAGTTTTCAACAAGCCCATTTACAAGCAGCATATTTAGCCAATTTTAATTATTTGCAGTCTGTCACAAAATGACATCAGCAATTTGTAAGCACTGCTGAAATGGTGCAGGTTTTCCAGAAATTCCTGACAAGCCTTTTTGAGAGGCCAATGGTTTCATTCGCTGCCCTTGGATCTTGTCTTCACCTTACAAAATGATAGCAAATGTCCTGAGAGACTTGAAGATGACTATACACTCAGCCATGGATCTGGTGGCCATGAACTTCTCTGGAGTTGTATCTCTGCCTTAACACACCCTGGCAGCACTGCTAGTGGGATCTAGGCCAACAGAAAATGGGTTCCTACTGCTATTTTAGGGGGAAAAAAATCTCAATATTTTTTCCAGCTAAACCTGGACTCAGTTTTGGTGGGACAGTTTCAGAAAACTTGAGATAAAATGGTCATCATATTTCGTCTGAAAATCTTATAGGATCAGTAAAATTCTCAATAATTTCAACAAAAAAATGTTGAAAACTGGATTGTCTTCTGGTAACATTTTGACTCTGTTAGATCTTAAAACACAGAGAAAGTCAGAACTTATCCAAAGATATTTCTATTTATTCTTTGATTGAATGAACTACTTAGACTTTATGTCTCTGTGAGCTTGTGAAACCGAATTTTTACTAATTGATTCACCTTCCAAGCAATTTAAATAAATTTTAAAAAAAAACAACCAACCAACCAAACAAAAAAACCCCAAAAAACAATAGAGAAGGTTAATATAATGGGAATTAGATTCTCAGATTTCTTGATTCACACGACAAAATGGACCATGCCTTCCCAAACTGGCTGTTGAGATTCCTTTGCATCACTGATATGCCTTATTCCCCATTTGCTCATCCCCAGCACCTGGTGCCTGGCTCTCTAGGGCCAGGATCCTCAGTCAGGGGCAGTAATGTGGGGTTTAATCCAAAGGCTGAAAATGTGGCTCATGCAGCAGTTCCTGCACCATGAAACAGTTGATTTCTGCTCTGTGACCCACTCTGAACTTGAGAGACGGATTTGTGATGTGACAAGCCAGGCTGTTCATTTCATCAGGCATTGCCCAGCACCAGCTGCTTCTGAGGAAAGTTCAGCAAACTTGATAATGAGCACTGGGGGAATAACAGAAGTTTCATCTTCAGCTGAACAGTAGCTGGCTCACATCTTAAATATTTCATGTCCATTATACATTCAAAAACGCTGTAAGAGGTTTGTGTAAGCCCTTGGTTTTCAGATTGGTATTTAGCCTACATTAAACACACATAGCAAATTCAACGCTGTGTAATGTTATTGAATATCACAGATTTAAGATTTATTACCAAAGGAAATTACACTGAAAGAATTTATTGGAAACAAAACAAACCCCGTGACTTGGTGATGGATGACTTTGTTCTCCAGTCTTAGACCAATTATTTAACAAAGCATTTGGTACATTTGACTTTAGGCCAAACAACGATGTAAGTTGACATTTTCTAGAATATTTTAAAAAATTGACAATTTGCAATACATAAGTGAGCCCAAGAAAGAGCAAAACACATTTAGATAGAGTTATAAAATCAGGTACCTTGATAACTTAGCCAGTGGTATTTAGTCATAATTTAGCCATTGGTATTGAGTCAGTTCTACTAAGTGTATAACAAAATACTGTAGCAAAATGAATCATAAATTCCATGTCCCTTAATGCTACTTATTGAGTTAACTCTTCAGCGAGATGCCATTACCTGCAGTGATTACATGCTCACAGCATGGAAGTCAGAAGCAAATCTGGCAGGTGCAAACATCTGCTTCTTTATTTATAGCTGCAGAGAAAAAGTGTCCAGTAATGCAGCGTGCTTCAACTTGGACCAGAATTTTATAAAGCTCTGGGCATACGCGGGGAAAAAAGCTTCCCTTCTTCCTGTGCAATTTTCTGAGAACTTATTTAACTTCATCCAGATTTTCTACCTGGCTGCATAAAGGGTTTGGCCAAGTTTTTGAAAGCATTGTGAATGCTGAAAAGAGATTTGCAGACCATCGTTTTAGGCTATTAAATAATATTAGTCTAATAGTATGTGCTAATGGGAAACACTGGTCTGAGTGTTTTATTGTGGGTAACATACACAGAGCAGGTCTGTCTTATTGGCATTGTGAGATAATTCTGAAAATGCGTTTTGTGCTGTTCTGGCACCAAATTTGAACTGAAAGGGTCTGGGCAGCCCCATCAGACCACTCAGACAAAGATGAGGGGAAGAGTTAGTAGGGATGAAACAACAAATATCACCTTTTCCACATGGCTATTAGAGAAATAGCTGCTTTAATGGTCTTTCAACCATTAAAAGGTAGAATTAGAAGCTGAATTAGACTATTCAATTAACAGGCAGTCAGCTGTGTAAAACCTATCATGTGACACTGATGCTCTGAAATCCAAACAGGTAAATGTTATTAAAGTCCCTAATAGAGTAAAAATGTTTTTTCTTGGTTTATATAAATAAATAACATAACACTTTTTTGTAAGATTTGCTGTGATAGAACACTAATTTCATGCACCTGCATTGTAGTGGTTTGAACCACAATAAAAATTAAACTATAACCAGAAATGCTATCTCTGCAGCATTTGTATTGTTTTCATGAACTTTCAGAATCAGCAACTGCAGAATTTTTTGGTGGTTAATAGCAAATCTCATGTTGCCAGTAAAACTGAAAGGGTAAAAAAGCAACTGGAGAAGAGAACAGTGGGAATAACTGGCTGTAGGCAAGATCTGAATTTTATGAATATTAGAAGCTCAGGGCCATTGTACTGAAGGTGAAATGACCCTTAAAAACGTGGCTAAGAACAGCTAATCCAGAGTGAGGTCATAAAAATGTCAAAATGGACAACAGCAGAAAAGTTGGGCAAAAATAAAGGAATAATTCAAAATATTGCTTGAGGGAGGTCTGTGTATAGTGTGAGACAGCAACACAATTATTTAAGAGCAGCCCATTATCTACTGCCCAGAAAGTCACAGGGGTTTGTAACATAGAGTTATGATTCCAATTTATGTGACATTTGGAATGAATACTTACCTTGGTGAAAAAAAACCCTCATGAAATAAAACCTATTCTAGAACCTTCATTCACTCTAAATTGTTACTGGTCTGTAACAATAAATATTATTCCATTAATTTTATATTACTATGGTTTCCAAGACAGTGGAATTAGATGAGATCTCTTCACAGGAGACGAATTTAAGAGACAACTGTTATTTATAAGAGCTGAAATAATGTGTTTGGAGTGCTTCTGTTTTTATTTAACACCTGCTTTTCCCTCCACACAATTTTCTTCAGAAAAATTCAGTAATGAATTGATTTTTACCCATTTCAAAAGATGAAAACCTGGAATTTGCAGGATGTGTGCTTGAGAATACTGAACAGAGGAAACTTGGTGGAAAATAAATTATTGGGCTGGCTATAAATTGACCCTTAGCTCCCATGAAGCCTTTCTGAGCTCTGTTGGAAACTTGCTTTTCCCGTGGGGAGATGTGTACAAATCAGATTAACTTCACTGAGAGCAATGGAGTAAACATATCTGAGGGAACACAGTACTGTACTTCCAACATTTCTCTGGTTTCTGGTATTTTCAAGATGGCCACTTAGAGGTTTATGACAGTATTAGCAGTAAAAAAGTAGAGATTTTGAAATCGGTATCTGTAAGAGGTGG